CCCAAAAAAAGCACTTTCTACCTAGCTCCGCCACTGCACATGTACCATGTACATAACAAGTCACGTTACAACTCAACATGATCATGCACCAAGGTCACCTCGTTGAGATGTGGTGCAGGAGATAACAGGCCTTCCCATTTCATCGACCCGGATTTGTGGGGAATCGCCGAACAATTTGCCCACACGCAGTAACAGTCTGCAAGCGATCAGAAAGGGCATTCTCAAGCCATTTATGATCACAATTTCCACACGTGATGAAGATGAGAATATTCTCAAGATCTAAATAAGGATGGATAGTCTAGCTTGGAGCTGTGTCAGGAAAATATGTATGTTGGTACTTCCTTCTGCTGTAAACGATACTCAAATTCCAGACCGTCAAATTTTACAACTGACACAACCATCGTCATCAACTCTATGCACAAAAATCATCCCATTTCTACACTTGCACCACCACAGCACATCCAGCCTGGTCTAGCAAGAAACCATAGCTTCACTATACTGTCTGTTGAAGGGTTGGCCATGCAGCCTCCTCGTCGTTGTTGTAGCCATTAACAAGAAAATAAACGCAGTTCTTCTGCCAGCCTTGGTTATAAGGATTCCTGAAGCGTCCATCAGGCCCACGAAGATAAGTGTAGCGCGACTGGTTTGCGGCCTCATTAGTTGTGAGATTCCTCGCTATCTGCATCAAACATGGCATGTAATGGGTAAGCACATGTTATGTAAAGCCTGACGGTGTTCCGTCTTGGGTCTTTCTAGCATATTGGGGACAAATGGGAGAATCAATATGGGACTGCTGAGTGATAAGCAGAGATTCTCTTGTGTCATGAACTATATAACAAGGTTGGAAGTGTTGCAGGCATAAAATACAAGTCTATGCACTTGTGCTTCTTTGCTATTCCCGTTGTAGAAAATGTCAGGCCATAGTAATAGAACAATGCATGCAAACCTAATGTGTGGAACAAGTCGGCGTGATAAACCAATATTGCAGCAAAGTCCTAAGCAATTAGTCAACAAGGCAGCTTACCATTACTGCTTGTGCCACCATCAAAATAAGAGCTCCAGTTAATAAGAAAATATCCATGAACATGAACAATACAGCACCAGGATGTTTTGTCACCATGAAGTGAGTCCACGACTCAGAAGATGAGAGTATAATGGGCTCCGTCCAAAGTCCTGTCGTCAGATGTCCATGAACTGTTACTACACTATTAAAAGAAATGAACGTATATTCACTATGTCTCCTTACTGTGGAATCCAACGGCAGCACCGAGAAGGGTTGTAGCTATCCCCATACAAAGAAACACCAAAAAGTCCCACTTATTTCTCTATAAACAAAACATATGTTAGTTATACGGAGATCCATAAGATCTGATGCAAAATACAGTTGAACATAAGGCATGCGTATTCTTTATTTTTAAGTTCAAAAGGAAGCACTTTAAATATCAACTGCAGTCAGATTTGAAAATGAATTCCATAGTCCCCAGCTATAGCAAAGTATATATAACATAATAAAGTGTTCTCTCAATAATTTCCAGAGTCTACGAATAAGAACAAGCAGCACGATGCACCAATGCACAAAATTAGTGCCCCCTATTTAGTCAATGGGACATTCCAAGAATATTTCCTGCTACAGCTGGAACAGCACGTCAGGGATTAATGCCCCTTTTGCTAAAGAGTACGGTACATTTGGCTCCATAACTTAAAATGAAGCATTTCATGAAACAATTGGATAATGGAAAAGCGCTAGCTAAGAGTAAAGTACATTATGGTTAACTTGAATAATTTGCAACTACCACTGGTACAGCCCGATGTGAAGTTTTCTATTCTAATAGAAGATAAGAGTAAAGTTGAAAACTTTAACTAGATTCAAACTCGACATATCCACATCTTATACCTTCCCAACACAATTTGATATCCAGGGGCAGTGATGGTCAAACTGTTCAACACACTGCTTACAAATTGGACAATGTTTGGAGCGCACAGGGCGAACTATCTGGTAAGTACAATTACTAAAAAATTAGTCTGGTAACAATAAGATGTAGTAGCATCAATGACATAAGAAAAACAATGGAGAACCTTATGTAGCTACGTTCACATGATATATTTTAAAAATAAAATGTCGTGTCAATATGAATATCCAAGAGAAAATAGTAAAAATGAAAAGTAAAGTGAAAATGGAAGTAAACTACAACATTATAATACCTTGCAAGTAGGGCATAGCTGAGACCAATTGCCTGTAAAAGTAGAGGAACTAAGATCAATCCCCATGAGTAGTTCCTGCAAGTATAACACAGCTCAGTAATGATGTTGAAGATATTGAAGAAAAGTCCCTAAGAATATGACGTAAGTGCTGAGTACAAAATATTCAGTACAGATGCTCACGTTACCAGAGAGAAATACAACTGAAAATAATCTACTTCTCAGATGGCATCTAGTGGTTGCTGCCCACAGCAGCCCTGCCAACCCATCGGCACGCCAAAATATTGGCGACCGATTCGACCACCAGCATCTCGTCCAGGAATCGGCTATCAAATGAACTGGAAAGAGACAATGGGCCTTGGCAAGCCAAAATTTTGGAGCCCAGCCAAACGGATACCAATACAGCGGTCAACGCCAAAAAATTGGCTGGGCAGCTCAGGGTAGCGATCCAAACAGACCCCTAGTGTCACGACCCAAGCTCCAGAGAGCGTAGTCGTGAGGAGGCTGTTGTGCCGTAGCGTGGAGAGGTGGGCAAGAGGGTTGGTGGAGGTGAACCTCTGTTTTCTGGTTTTCCTCAGCACTTAAGGTGTACACGGCTGTCCAGTATATGGACAACAGGTACTTGATTCCCAAGTTGGATCAGACCCTTTCCTAGCAAAACTTCTCCCATGTCAAGTTTGATCTACCCCGACCTCTCCTGACATTATCAGCACGTGTAACCATCCACTATGCACTGACACTTCGGGAGGCCTATTGTATATGCCCAAACCATCTCAGTTGATGTTGGACAAGCTTCTCTTCAATTGGTGCTACCTCAACTCTATCGCGTATATCATCTATCCGAACCGATCCTTGTGTGGCCACATGCGCATCTCTGCTACACTAACTGTTGGACATGCCGCCTTTTAATTAGCAGCACCATACAACATTGCAGGTCGAATCGCCGTCTTGTATGTTAAGAGTTATATTTTGTCCACCCATAGTGTATTTTCCCCGTTGTATAGGGGTTTCCTTGTATAGGGGTTTCCTGCATATTTACCACCTCTACATGTATATATACATATTGACCGTTGGCCCTCGGGAAATACAAGTTGCGTATATCCTAACATGGTATTAAAGCCCTAGTGTTTTTTTTTTCAAGCACAACTCGTGCTGAGATTCAATTTTGCGCCGTCCATCGCTGCTCCTCTTCTTCGCACCACCGCGTTACTGCTCCTCTTCCCCAATTGCGCCACCGTGCTACTGCTCCCTGTCCTTATCAACCCCTGCTGACGCCGCTCCATTGCAAACGACAGCCTGTCCAGCAGCCGCCTCTCAGATCGACTTACGCGAAGCCCACCTCCAGGCCGCCGGCTGAGTTAGAGAAGCCAGCCACAGCTGCCGCTTGTTGTGCAAGCTAGCTACGTTGCTCATGGGATCAGCCGCCGCCCGTACAAGCTAGCTGCATCTGCTAGTGGGATTCACACCTTTGCCCCTTTGGATCCAGCCCTACAGGTCAACGCCCCAGCAGCTTTGGCTTCCATCCTGCCTCGCCCCGTCGATCCAGCCCTACTATTTACAGGAGGTCACATGTTCTCCCAGACAGCCGCTACATGTCCATGCTGCGCTGCCTCCCGTGACTACGCATGCCCGCATTCGCGATCCGCGACGGTCGCCGATCTCCGAGCGTCGACCTCCCGTACAGGTCGACCTCGTGTTCCGTCGGCGTCCTGCCGCTGCATCATTCCATTGGGATTACATCTAGCCGGCGCCCTCCTATGTGATTCACATCTATTCGAGCCGGCTTGCTTCAGTAATATACTTTGACATTTTGCGGTATCTTATCGCAGGTCTTCTCCAAGTCAATGAACACCATATGCAGGTCCACATTTTGCTCCCTGTATCTCTCCGTAAGTTGTGTACCAAGAAAATGGCTTACATAGTCAACCTCTTAGGCATGAACCCGAACTGGTTTTAGGTCAAGCTTGTCAATCTTCTTAAGTGGTGCTCAATGACTCACCCATAGCTTCATTAGCTTAATTCCATGGTAATTAGCACAACTGTGAACATCCCCTCGTTCTTGAAGATTGGTACTAATATTCTCCACCTCCATTCTTCAGGCATCTTGTTTGACCAAAAATTGAGGTTGAAAAGCTTAGTTAGCCATACTATCGCAATGTCTCCAAATCCTCTCCACACCTCAATGGGGATACAATCAGGGCACATCGCCTTGCCTCCCTTCATTCTTTTTAAAGCCTCCCTGACCTCATACTCTTGGATCTGTCGAACAAAACTTCTCTTGGTATCATCAATGGAGTTGTCCAGCTCAATGGTAGAGCTCTCATTCCCTCCACCGAACAACTTGCCGAAGTATTCTCGCCATCTATACTTAATCTCCTCCTCCTTCACCACAAATCGATATGCTCCATCCTTGATGCATTTGACTTGGTTGACATCCTTCATCTTCCTCTCTCGGATCTTGGCCATCTTACAGATGTCCCTTTCGCCTTCTTTCGTGTTTAAACGCTGGTAGAGGTCCTCATACGCCTTACCCTCGTTTCACTCACAGCTCGCTTTGCAGTCTTCTCTGCCACCTTCTACTCTCTATTTTGTCTAGTACTCCTATCCAGGTGTAGGCATATGAAACAGCCTTTCTTCTCCTCAATAGCCTTGTCAACATCATCGTGTCACCACCAGATATCTTTAGCTTTGCTTCTACTTCCCCTGGTCACCCCATACTCCTCTGCAGACACATCCCGAACGCAAGTCGCCATCTTCATCCACATTGTTTGCATCACCTCCTTCCTCCCAAGAGCCCTCCTTAATAACCCTCTTGTTGAAAGCCTGAGTTGCCTCCCCCCTTAAGCTACCACCACTTCGTTCTAGCGACTTTCACGCGTTGATCCCATTGGACACGAATCTGAAAACGGAAGTCAGCCACCACAAGTTTGTGTTGTGGGACAACACTCTCTCCAGGTATCACCTTACAATCAAGGCAAGCAAGCTTGTCTTCACTTCTCAAGAGGACAAAATCAATTTGGCTAGAGTGTTGACCACTACTAAAAATTGGATTCTCTCTTCCTAAATAGTACTATAGTACTATGTACCAACTGCGATATCAGAAGCTCTGTTTGAGGATGGAGTTTGACGTCCGCTGGCACGTCTCCTTCGCGGCGGACCTTGCGTCCGCACGCACCGTCCACTTCACCATCCTCCTCCGCCGGGGAGCGCTCCGGATCGTGCTGATCGACGACAAGGGGGTGACGGTGGACGCACGTTACTTGCGCGAGGGGGAATCCATCGACATTGGCCAGGTCATCTCCTTCCCCTGCCACTTTGCTAGGGTCCGAGACCGTATTCCGACGAGCGACACGGGTGCGGGTACACGGGAACATGCGGCGCGTGGTGGCGTGCGCGGTGCACCGAGCCGCGTCCTGGACGGGCGGTGACGGGGCCCTGGGATTCTAGGGCCACATCCAGGCGCGAGTGGGGCGGCCGCCATTGATGCTCGACACGTGGACGGAGATCCGCGCGGCCATGGGATGCTTCAGGATGCCGTGGGTACAAAAGCCGCTCCCACTCCGATCCGTGACCTAGACGCCGCTCTATCTCACTTCTGGGAGACTCCGAGAAACCCTAGATCGAGATTCCCCTCCTCCTTCCTCTGGTGGGAGGGGAAGATTGGAGGCGACCACAGATCCTACGCAGCGGTGGTTTCTTCCAAGCCAAGCAAGCCGAGCGAGATGGAGAACCGCGGCGACCATGCCTTCCTCGGAAATCGTCGGGAGGGCTTTGGATCTGGGCGGATGGGGCGTGGAGCTGGTCGATTTGACCGAGGCGGTCGGGGCCGCTTCTCGTGGTCCAGGGAGGTCGACGGCGACGACTTCT